TGTCTTTGTTATTTCTCTTTTTTTCTTTCCTCTAAATCCTCCTATATGCAACTTGCCTCCACAGACTTATCTGCCCCCAGAGTGCCTTCCCTTTATTAAAGTTTTATTTTCTCTCTTTCCATCTTCTCTCTTTTCTCTTCCAATTTCTTGTTTTCTTCTATTACTTTAATTCTACTTCTTTTTCTAAGCAATTATGTATGTATGTGTGTGTATATATATATATATATATCTTTATTTTCATGTTTAATTGTTCACTTATATTTTTGTCTTTTCTCACACACTATCTCATTATGTTCTTTCTCTCCTTTCCCTTGTGAGACATATTTTCATAATATCTATTTTCATTTTAATATTATTTTCATATTAATATTATTTTTATAATATTATTTTCCTAATTTTTATAAATTTCTTGTTAGTTCATACAGCTCCTTCTTTTCTTTTTGTCCCCTCTGTCTTTTGATTTTCTTTCTTCTTTTCCCTTATTATCTCTTCTCCCATTTCCACCATCTCTGTATTATGTGTTGTCTAATGCCTATTAATCCTCTCCCATGAAGCTTGCCAGAGCCATCTATCCACACACATACCACTAATAATTAACATACCACTAATAATTAACATACCACTAATAATTAACCAGAATGGTCCATAATCAGCAGACAATCACAGTGGACCAAAAAAAAAAAAAAATCAAGAGAACCAAGCACAAACAACTAAAACCACCCAAACCCAATGAATTGCTCTGAAAAAGAGGCAATGGAATTATCATAAATATATTCAGAAAGATTTAGGCACCCTCAGTGATGGAGGAAATAGTAATGAGAACAATGAAAGAGGTTGAAAAATTAGGAATGCTGCACAAAATAAAATTCCAGAAGATAAACAACAAGATAACAGAATTAAACAATACAACAAAAAAACATAGTAATAGAATGGAAGAAAAGGAAAATTGAGTTTGTGAACTCAAAGACAATTTTTCCTACTACAACGGACAAGAGAAAATAAACAAAAAGCACAGGAATATGAAGAAAATATATGGGATATGATCAAGAGGAACAATTTATGTCTTGTCGGTATTGCAGAGTTAGAGGATACAAAAAATACTACAGAGAAAATCTACAAGAACTCAGAAGAGAAATTCATCATCAGCATGAAGAGTAGAAAATAACTATTCAAGAAGTTGAGAGAACCTGAAACAGTAGATCCCAAAAGAAAAATATCTCAGAATATGTGGGGTGAGGAGCGTCCCCCACAAATCATCACAGATCCAGTAGGTGCAATTGTAAAGTGATAATAAGTAAAGATTATAGTAAAGTCATAGAGAGCATGAGAGGTAGAGGAGAGACTGGAATAATGGAGTCAGACACAATTCATGGTAGCATGCTCACCTCAGCCCTGCTTGATGGTCCTCATGGGGGGAGCCCGGCTGCGAGAGCAGGAGAGAGCCCCCGGGAGTGAGAGCAGGAGAGAGCCCCAACTTTATTGCTAACCAAGGGTTACAGGTAACCACACATCACAGGAAGGGGCAGTACAATAGGCATACACATCATAGGAAAGGGATGTATAATAGGCATAAGCGGGACAGGAAGGGGATGAGCTAGGGGTGTGCCCATAGGAATGGGAAGGTCTAGGTGTATACATGTGACAAGATGGGTGGACACTAGATTCATGATGGTGGCCTAACCTTGGTCATCCTTGGGTGGGTTTGACCTCTCTGGGGTCTCCTACAAGGAAACAGACAACTATTATCCTTACCAGAAGGGAGTGGGCCCTACTTGTTGTGGGATAAGTAGTGGTGTCTGCTTGCTCTAGATGGCTGATAGCTCTTAGGAAGAATAACCCCTGATCTACTCCAGATGACCTCCGAGTGTATAGTCATTTGCAAGCAGCTAAATTTGGCATATATTTGGGAGAAATCCTTCTGTTTCCCACAAGAATATCTTAGTTAAACTTTCCAATTCAAAGGAAAATGAGAGAATCCTGATTGCAGGTAGGGAAAAAAAGAATAGTCACCAATGTTATATGACTTGTAATGAAAAACTAGAAAGACACATGTGCTATCATACCTAATACATCAATAGATAAAAGCAAAGTACAATAAAATAATTAATACTTTATTATTCATACCAGTTTTAACCCTAGTCTTGTTTTCACAAATTCCATTAGTTTTTCTTTGTCTGGAAATACTTTTATTTCTTCCTTATAGTTGAGGAATACTTTTGCTGGATATGGGATTCTGGGTTGACAATTTTTTTCTCAGAATTTTGTATATGTCACTTCACTTTTATCTTACCTGCATGATTTCAGCGGAGAACTCTGAGATTATTCTTATTGGTTTTCTTTTGGGTTGCTATGAGTCAGCACTGACTCGATAGCAGTAATTTTGGGATTTTTTGCATTATGTTAGTGCAAGCGCAGTGAATTGGTTAATGTAGCTCTTTTAGTCAGTCTGTAACGCCCATCAAATGACCTTTTCTTATATGGGTCTCATAACATTATGGGGGGAAGATACTGATAGAATTCACCTGTGAGTAATTGTGACTGAGATTCCCTGGAATGCCATTCTGGTGTGTATAAAAGGAGCCCTCTGAGAAGCAGGAAAAGGGATCTCAGTACCAGTAAGAGCTGAAGTGGAGTGCATGCTTTGGACATGAGATTCCTGCACAGTGAATTTCCTAAAGCCAGAAGATAGCCGTAACATCAAAATTGGAGCAACAGCAGAAAAAAACAGGAGTCAGAATATGAAATGGTGGTGGATTTTACAGACCAACGAACAAGTAATACTGAGCGCTTTAGGGTAAGAAGCTATCTTGTGGAATAGGATGCCTCTGGGCTCTTCATTCAGGAAACTAGGTTTGCTGACCCAGAAATGTTGAGCTTGAATGCCTTTGGATTGAGCTTTCCATGGAATAGTATGCCCTTTGAGCATTTATTAGTATACGTGAAAGGACTTTGTAACATGCCCTGATAAACAACTACCCTGGACAGTTCTCACTGGTATTACAACGTTTTAATGCCCTTATAAACTCTTTGCTCATGGATTTTTGTCTGAGTTCTGTGAATTTAGAGAAATGGAAAACTAAGCCTTTCTTCTTGTATGTCTTGGTAAACTCAAACTTTGACCCTTTTGGTTAATACCTGTATTAGTCTAGGTACTTTGGAGAAACAAATCCACAGCAACTCATGTATGAGAGTTTTATGTAAAGAAAGTGTGCATCACGAAAATATCCCAACCCAATGCTGCCCAAGCCCACAAGTCCAACATTAACCCATTAACCCAACACCAGTCCACAAAGTCCTCCACCTCACAAAACAGAGGCAATGATGCCGACTGCAGGAGGAAAACTGAGTCAGTGAACAAATAAGCATCTCAGCACTAGCAGGGGTCTCCACACAGCTTCTCCAGCACCCAGGGCTGCATCGGGATAGGTCCATGTGGCTTCTCCTTGGGGATGTCTTGTAGGAAGTCAATCTTGCAAGCTGAAGCAGGGAACTGCTAAGGCAGCTGCACCCTGGTGTGACCATCACAAAGCAAGAGACCCCAGAACTAGAAAGGTGAGAACTAGAAAGGTGAGGCTCACCAAGCCATTTATCTCTCCACCCTTCAATTAACCCCACGTGTTTATCGGCCAGGTTGGCACAATTAACTAACTCAATACCCAAGTACATAAATGGTTTTCACTACTCATGGGCTCTGTTTACAATAAAAAATAATGTATTTGGTGGGTTTGATATAAGTTTTCTCAAGCACTTTCTGAAGTAATCACCACAAACTGAAATTAGGAACAGCCCCCTTCTTGTCCCTACCACCACCCCTCACACCCCACCATCCTTCTTCTGCTATGCATTAAATTTCCAAGTGATGTCAGACAGACCCATATGCTTCAGCTTCAGTGAAACCATGCCCACCCCTGGAGGCATTCCACCCATTACTTCTGAGTCTCAGAACTGCCCTGTCTAGAATTTCTTTAAGCGCTCTGTTTGATGGTGCTGAGTTTTTTTCTCCTCCAAGGTGTTCTCCTTGGTTTGAAGAGGAATTATCAAGCTGTTCTGTAAAAGCCTCCCTCTTTAAGAGAGAGACAGAAATTTACATCACAGAGAAGCTAAAAGATTTTCTGGATTAAGAATCTTTTGCCTATTTCTATCCAGACGGATTGTTCCCTTTCTTCCCATTGTTTATCTCTATTGTTGGAGACTCCAAAGAAAAATGCTTTTAATTTTAATAATGTTTATTACCTTTTCTGATTAAGTAAGTTTCACACATTTGTTTTGCTCATGCATATATCCTCAGTGTATAATAGATAATCAGCAGCTAGTTGCTGAATGAGTCAGTGTTAGATAATTTGTAATGAATTCAGAAAAGTTTAAAGGAAAAAGACTGTGTAATGCTACCTCAAAGAGAGAAACTCAAATATTATTTTGATATGTTTTTCTATTCCTCTTCTTTTCTTTTTCTCACTCTAGATAAAAAAAATAACTATATCCTGATTTTTAAAATCGCTAGACCTACTGAGTATAATTAACATTAAGTGAAGGAATGGAACAATGATAGTTATTGAAGTATAATCTCTTCTTTTCTTTTTCTCACTCTAGATAAAAAAAATAACTATATCCTGATTTTTAAAATCGCTAGACCTACTGAGTATAATTAACATTAAGTGAAGGAATGCAAGCAATGAACAATGATAGTTGTTGAAGTATAATTATAGTTGTGGGGTTTGCCATCTGATAAATTGTGAATAAAGCTTTGAAATGTTTAATGCTATTAGAAGGTTGCAAAAATAATTTATTTTAGAGATATAAGGCCGCGCGGGCCCGGGCGGTCAATGGAGCGGGACCTTGGCACCTGGGCTCCAGCAGCTACATGGGGCCGAGCCTCTGGCGCTCAAGGTGCAGGCGCTGACCGGCCACTGGCACTTCAAGGCTCAGCGAGACCTTCCGGCTGGGTCCCCCGATTTGGGCTGATTTTGCGCCTCCAAACAACCTTAGCATGATGTCTTTATCTTAAGCAACCGCCTTACGCAGTCAATGGGCTGAGTCTGACCACTTCGGGCATGGGCTTGCTGCACCCCTCGGTGGGCTATCCCGCCACCCCCAGGAAACAGCGGCAAGAAAGGACAATGTTCACCCAGGAGCAGCTGGAGGTGCTGGAGGTGCTGTTTTCCAAGACCTGGTATCCAGACATCTTCATGAGGGAGGAGGTGGTGCTGAAAATCAACTTGCTGGAGTCCAGGGTGCAGGTTTGGTTTAAGAACCAAAGAGCCAAGTGCCAACAACAGCAGCAACAACAGAATGGGGGGCAAAACAAAGGGAGACCTGTCAAAAAGAAGATGTCTCCAGCTCGGAAGTGAGTTCAGAAAGTGGAGCAAGTGGCCAGTTCACTCCCCCCTCTAGCACCTCCATCCCTGCCATTTCCAGCAGCAGTGCTCCCGTGTCTATCTGGAGCCGAGCTTCCATCTCCCCACTCTCAGATCCCTTGTCCACCTCCTCTTCCTGCATGCAGAGGTCCTACCCCATGACCTATACTCAGGCTTCAGGTTATAGTCAAGGATATGCTGGCTCAACCTCCTACTTTGGGGGCATGGACTGTGGACCTTATTTGACCCCTATGCATCACCAGCTTCCTGGACCAGGGGCCACACTCAGCCCCATGGGTACCAATGCTGTCACCAGCCATCTCAATCAGTCTCCAGCTTCTCTCTCCACCCAGGGCTATGGAGCTTCAAGCCTGGGCTTTAATTCAACCACCAATTGCTTGGATTATAAGGACCAAACAGCCTCCTGGAAGCTTAGCTTCAATGCTGACTGCTTGGATTACAAAGACCAGACATCCTTGTGGAAATTCCAGGTTTTGTGAAGATCCATTGAACCTCTTTTTGTGGGTGATTAAAAATATAATAATAATAATAAAGTACTGGGCTGGACATTCCAGTTTTAGCGAGGCATTGGTTAAAAAAGTTAGATGGGATGATGTTCAGACTCATCTTCTGATCAAAGTTCCAGGAGGCAGACAAGGAAAAATTGAAGGGCCTTAGAGGGGCCATTCAACCAGCAACCTGAAATGGACCAACCAATCTACTTAAGATTCTGTCATAGTTTTAGATCATTGGTTTTCCTGATTTGCAGTGTTCTAGCCACTTACAACCAAACACCACCAAAGATAAAATCAAATGAAATTGAGTTGTGAGGGGAGGAAGGGAAGGTCCTGGGTAGCCTTTCTTCAGCAGAGGGGTTCCAATGTTTTAGCCAATCCTTGGTTGAATCTTAGGAATGGACAGTGTCCCAAGCTCATTCACATTTCATGACCAAGTGGTAGTTGGCACTGAAAAACTTTTCAGGGCTGTGTGAATTGTGCGACTGATTGTCCTAGATGCACTACTTTATTTAAAAAATAATGTTCATAAGGAGTCAATATGTAGTTTAAGAGACAATCAGTGTGTGTCTTATATAAATGGTACATCTGTGGTTTCTAATCTGTGCTAGACTTCAAAACTGTGATCTCCTGTTATTGTATGCAACCTTGAACTCCACCTCTGCAGGGGTTCTTCTGTGATTCAATAGGTTATAATTATAAGCAAAATTCAGCGCAACTGAGTACTTATCTAAAAAGATTACCTTTGGCTGGAGTTGAGCTGCACTGAAACTTTACAGTAAAGTATCTCTGGACCAGGAGAGAGCGAGAGAGAAGAAGCAAAAGGACACTACTTCCTCTGTAAAATTACTGCTGGTAATTTCACAGTACTGACATTGGTCAATGGCTCTGACCCCGATGAATCTATAAACTGAGATCATTGTCGTTTATGCTTGTAGATGTTAACTGGAAAAGTCATATATGCATAAACCTTTTCTTCTTGGATTTGGCAGATGTGTATAATTATATTAAAATGGTTCTAGCACAAAAAATAATTATAATTTATTTTAGAAAGATTAGTATGCAGTTGGTCCCAGTGATATATGGAAGTTTAAAATGTCTCAAATGTTCAACTTTTCTAAAATACTATACTATTTTATTATCCCTAGTTACAACTACCATTCCTCCTCCTAAGTTGTCTCCCTCATGTCTCAATCTCAACTCATAGCCATGGAGTCAATTCTGACTCATAGCAACTCTACCGGACAGGGTAGAACTGCCCCTATGGGTTTCTGAGGCTGTAACTCTTTATGAGAGTAGAAAGCCTCAGCTTTCTTCCATGGAGTATATACTAGTTTTGAACTGTTGAGCTTGGGATTAGAAACCCAGTACATAACCACTAGCCTACCAGGGCTTTGCCCCTCACATCCCAGGGTTTCACATTTAGCTGCAATGTACTATAGAAATAACAAGCTGTCAAGAAAATGGTTCACCTGATTGTAGAGGCGGGCAAGTCTCAAATCGTAGATCAAATGCCCACCTGGAGGATTCTTCTTGTGTTAGGTTGTGTTCTCTAGAGAAACAAAGCCAGTCACACACACACACACACACACACACACACAAATGCTTATCAAGAGAGTTTCTCATATAGCCACAGTGTGTGCAAGCCTGCTCTGTCTCATGTCCATGAGTGTGAGTTAGAGGCTAAGCTTTCCAATGGAGGCAGTTAAGTGAATCCAAGGTCTGAGGCAATATCGAAAACCATTGGCCACAACTCCTAAGAAGGCATGCAGGATCCAAGTCAGTAAGAAAGAGAGGGGAGCATTCTGCACAACATCTATATATATAATATAGGCCACAGCCCCATGGAGTCATCTTTAAGCTATGACCTGAGTAAAGTTTTGCACTCTACACTAATCTTCCCACAACTACATGACTACTCACAGAAATCACATCATGATAGAAATCTCAACTGTCATACCTCTGAGAGTCCTGGCCCAGCCAAGTTGACACACATACTTTTCATTCTCATCAAATTGGACCATTGACTCACAAGGCTACAGAAGCTGATGACTCAAGTAAGGTGATATGCTATCTTAATCTGAATGTTAGGTGGAGGCAAACTAGGTGGAGGATCAAGAACAAAAGAGTAAACTTTTTCAAAGTTGGTCAGCATGGGTCAAGATGACTATCTGAGGTAGTTAGTTTATTGTGCCAACCTGGCCGATAAACACATGGGTTAATTGGAGGGTGGCAAGATAAATAGCTCAGTGAGCCTCGTCTTTCTAGTTCTCGGGGTCTCTTACTTTGTGATGGCTGGACCAGGGTGCAGCTGCCATAGCCAGTTCCCTGCTTCAGCTGGTGAGACTCACTTCCTGCAAGACTTCCCCAAAGAGAAGCCACATGGACCTACCCCGATGCAGCGCTGGGTGCTGGAGCAGCTGTGTGGAGACCCCTGCCAGCTGAGATGATTTCCCTTTCACTGACTCAGTTTTCCCCCTGCAGTCGGCATCATTGCGTCTTTTATGTGAGATGGAGGACTTTGTGGATTGCTGTTGGACATATGGGTTAATGTTTGACTTGTGGGCTTGGACAGCACTAGGTTGGGGTGTTTTCTTGATGTGCACTTAACCTGTATATAAAACTCTCTCTTATACATGAGTTTCTGTGGATCTGTTTCTCTAAAGTACCCAGACTATGACACTACCTAACTCCTGGGCCAATAGTATTCTTAGAGCACTAAGTGTTGTCTCATTGATGTTTATCATCAGTTGACTCAGCACCAGTCTTCTGAATATACTTAATCTGGTAGTGGCAGGGACTGAGAGGTGAGAGCTTCTTACTTTTTCTTTCTTGGAATTGGCTTCACCACTGCTGTTATAGAAAACCATCCAGTCCAAAATATTGAATTTAAAAGAAGAAAAATTATTACATCCATATATATGAAGGTACCAGTCTACACAGATAAGAACTAATGACTTCAGCTAATTTTTTTCATACACATAGATATAGTTCATGAAACAAATAAATTATAATTATTTAGTTAATTTGTGGTCGAGATGACAAGGAACATGAATCAGCAGTTGGAAGGCACTACAATATTGACTACCATGTGATCAGAATTTTTACTATGTATACTTTTCCTAAGATATAAAACTGTCAAAGTCTATGAAAGACATTCTTTGAGGCTGGAGCGAGTAATAATACTTAACATCCTGGCTCTCGTGTTAGAAATTGCTTAAAGTCAAGACTTCTTGATTACCTAGTAAATTTTAAATAGTCAAATATTCAACAATTTTTCTTGAAATTTTGTTTTATATGCCTATCCTAAAGGAACATTTCTTTTTTTTTTTTTTCTTGGCTATAATCCTTTTGTTTTTTAAACATTTATACAACTGTTATCCCAATCCATACACACATCAATTGTGTAAAGCGCATTTGTACATCGTTTCTCAAAACATTTTCTCTCCACCCAAACCCCCGACATTAGGTCCTCATTTTTCCCCTCCCTCCCCGCTCCCCCCTCCCTCATCAGCCCTTGATAGTTTATAAATGGGTATTTTGTCATATCTTGCCCTGTCCGACGTCTCCCTTCATCCACTTTTCGGTTGTCTGTCCCCCAGGGAGGAGGTCACACACAGTTCCACGTAATCGGTTCCCTCTTTCCTACCCATTCTCCCTTTACCCTCCCTGTTTTGCCACTCACACCACTGGTCCTATAGGGCTCATCTGTCTAAAGGAACATTTCTTAAGGCCATTTTGCAGCAATACATTTATTTTAGAACCCCCTTTTCTTGAGGTGATTTCTTCCACAAATACCTTTAGATATTCATGGCCTCTAGGAATTAACATAGCGAGATAACAGGATTGGTCAGGGAAGTCACCATGAATTCTCAGACAGGCAGTTGGATAAACAGAAAAGTCAAGATTCAGCAAGAACTGAGTTAAACTTAATCATTCAACTTTGATCAGAAAGACTTTACAATTTTCCTTAATACTATCATTGCCATTAAAAAACAAACAAGCAAGCAAGCAAACAAACAAACAAAAACACTACCTGACTATATTAATCAGCAAATGAGGTCTCCTTACCTCTCATTCCTTTTGATGTCTATTAAAATTATACACTGCAGGTTTACCAAAGGGGTGGGATGACTCTTACTCTGTCATCGAAGATGTGTCAAGCTGGATTCTCTAGAGAAACAAAACCAGTGACAATTAAATGTACTTGTACAGAGAAAGAGATTTATATCAAGAAATAACTCACATAGTTGTGGAAGCTGTCCAGTTCAAGTCCAGACCAGTTCAAATCCGTAGGTCAAATGGCAAACTGTAGGCCTCTGCAGTGGAGGGGCCTATGAACCACGAAGCAGGAAGACCACAGGCTCGTGGATGCAGAGTTGAATAGGTCCAATGTTGGCTGAAGGAATCCAAGGTCAGCAGTCTGCTGATGGCTCCTGGGGTTGACAAGCAATATGACAGGGGGTTGACAAACCAGATGTAGGACACTGATAAAGTGGGAGAACATGTGGCACACGATCTCAAATTCCTAAATAAATAAAGACCTACTAGACTAGTTGAGACTGGAGGCACTCATGAGACGATTGGCCGGAGAAACTCTTCAAAGCTTGAACCAAACTAATCCCAGAGGTCACCTTGTAACTAAACTGGGTGGTTCAAATAACATCACCCTTCAGTACTATGCTCCTTTTAAAGATCACCTGTACGAGGCCCTGCTGACAAAAATTGCTTTAAAACAAGATGACTATGTCGGGGGGAGAGAAACTAGATTAATAGAAACAGAACAGACAGAAAGAGATCATGAGAAGGTTCACACATTGTGAGGAACATAACCAATTGTGCAGAAATGATTGAATGGGAACCTAGACTTCTGTGTAACCTTCCACCAAAGAAAAATATGCTACATTTTCAATTGTATATTTTGACCTAAGAATGCATTATGTGGTGCATCCTAAATTGCTTGTTATTGCTAGAGCACAAATCAG